TATTAAGTAAAAAGTGTGCAGAATTTATTGCTGCATGTGTTGTCATCCGTGCATGCTAGTGTTTACACTCGTGTCATTGATGCGTGTGTGTGCGGGTGTGCGTGTGTGCGTGTGTGCTTATCCACCTGTAACCCGATGGCCCACAGAAACTATCAAAGTGCTGAAAGTAAAACAAACGTTTGCATAAGCGCTGGCGGCGACTAAAGCACACACACCCACACACAGAGACACGCTCACCCATGCACAGGAAAACCAAACACCAAACAGCAAGTCAAAAGGGTCGACCAACGGCAAACATGTCGTATGCGTAACGCACGTTCACTGTTGACTGTTTAAAGGGCAACTCACCTGATGGCATCGATCATTTGCAGGCCCATGTTGACACAATTAGTAGCATGCTGCGGCCGTGAGATGGGCAGCCCGGACACGCAATAATAGCAATCGCCCAGAATTTTGATGCGCAAGCATTGATTTTCCTAGGGAGAATAAGTGAAATGATTAATGGATCGCCAGCTGCGACAGCCGCTGCGGCTGCTACTCACCTGAGCTATTTGATCGAAGCGTCCGAAGAGATCGTTTAATGTCTTGACCAAATCGCTGGCCGTCAAGGAGGAGGAGAGCGGCGTGAAGTTAACAATGTCCGCAAAAAGTATGGTGACATTTGTGTGCCGCTGCACGTGCAGCTCGTGAAAACGTGTGGCTGATGTCGAGGCCTGGCCTCCAGCACGCTGGCACGCATCCGCCATCTTCAGCATGATGCTCCGCTTGACCTGCACACACACACACAAACACATACGCAGACACAATAAAAACAATGGGAAATCAGAGCAGTTGCTGTCGTTTGCTCACCTCGGCGGCTATGTAGGCGGGTATGACGCTAAGGAGCAGCTGCTCCTGCTGCTCGCGCTCGCACTCGAGCTTGACGCGTTGCTCGATGCCAGTGCGTGTTCCATCCACGGTGCGATTGTGGGCGGCATCCGACATGATGCGATAATAAAGACCGGAAACGGACGCGCTAGCCAGCATAACAATCTCGCCAAAGAGCTGCGAGAAAGAGAGAGAAGTGGGGAGTGAGCAATGGGAGTTAAACGGGGTCACGCCAAGAACTGTTGAATAATAGAGTCTATTGGCAGGTCGACAACCAGAGCCAACAATGTTTCACCGCAGACCCCTAATCGGAATTCCCAACATACAATTGTGTCCCAGCTAATTAACTCTGCCACAATGCCAGGCGATGGGCATGGAATAAGTCAGTGAGTGAGCGAGCTGCCACAGCGCACAAATTGCGCTGCGCAAATTAAGCCCCGAGAAAAACTAAACAAGTAATTAAAGCGCCAGCTTTAAAAGCAGCTCAATTTCTATTTTTTTCAGCAATTTGCAATAATTAGGTAAGCCAATATGAAGTGACAAATTTTAATTAGGTAATATATACAATAATTAAAAGTTGACACTGTTAATGAGTAAAGTTTGTGTGAGCAGAGAAAATAATCAAGTGACTACAAATATAAATATTAAATATGAAATTCAACAATATTCAAAAGTGATGTAGAGAGAGTAGAGTTTATTTTATTTAGATAAAGTATAAATAACCAAAAATATATAGCGGAAAATAGAGACTGAAATGAAGCGCTGATTCGGGAGCCAAAGAAAGACTGACAACTTCAGCTCAAATTCACATTAAGAGCTGATTCAGTAGGCGAGGATACACAGACATCTTCACCAGCTGCAGCATTATTTAATTTCTCTATATATTAATTCTTCCATCTACTTCTATATCAATTTCATTTTATTTAATTTAAGTAAAAGTTTTTATACTTAACACTATATATTTTTTTAATATATTTTAATAGCAGCTTATCCGTAATACAAAAATACTTTTTCCTTAACAGTTTCACATATTAAAGTATCAAGTACGAAAAAGTGCATCTGACCTCGACAGCTTGGTCCTCTATGAACTGTGTAAACCATAATAAACGCAATAATTTCTCTGCCCATTTGTTCTCAACTTTGCAGCAAAAGTGTAATCCCAGCTCATAGCAAAACTGTTGGGCAATGCAAATAAAAAACTTACCATGGGCAAATTGCATGCATAGTCCGGGCTGGTGCCGATTCTGTAAACGATGTGTATGGCTGTCATAAATAAGGCTAACACCACGGAGACCGGCCAGGAAATGGGCAGCATCGTGTGGATGCCCTGCAATGCAATGCAATTCATAAGCGACGTATTAAAAGCGTATTCCACAATCTGGACTCGTAACTCCGACCACTTACCAGAAACAATGCGTACATAGGCAGAGGAGCCAGTTCGCCTCCCGTGATGGCCGCAATGGTGCCGAGCGAGAAGGTGGTGACAATGGCAAAGGCCAATGCTGCCGCTGGAGAGCTAAGCACCGCCGGAAACTGCAGAGCCGTCAGTATTGAGCCAGAGATTACGGCAGCCAATGCCAGCAGCAGTGTCTGCAGCAGGTGCTACGCACACCGTAATACACACAGTTGTTATTTCAGACGACTAAGTGTTAGTGCCGTGGCTAATGCTCTTACCTGCTCGTAATAGATGCCAATTGCTATGGACACAACACATGCTACCAGCGATGTGAACAGGCCCGATCTGAAGAGCGACTTGCGCAGCCTCTGCCGGTAGCGTGTATATAAATCGTTCAGGTGTATATCCTCAGCTGCAAAATACAGAAAAGTCAAGTGCTTGGCCCATTAGTGTTGCGTGTTAAATGGGTAATTCCCGTTAAGTACACGTACAAGAAGAAGTAGAAGGCCCAACATTTTGATTGTGGCATTAATAAAACGACAAATATAAAACGTATTAGCCACGCGTGCTGCCGTTATTAATTATACAAATAGGCTATATATATATAACAGTAGAAATTGAACAAATTTCAAGATAACTTCAAGGAGTTGTAGAAATCAATAATAAAAGGCGCTTAAATTTTTTTGACTGGCATATACTATTGCTTCGCTTTTATAGATCTTAGTTCTGGGCATATGCCGACAACAATCGGTCAAGTGCCTCACAATCAATATTTATCGATTTTCAATAAAATAAATTAGAAATGAAATATATAAATATAATAAAAGTATATCTAATATAAGGTATACGTATTAATCAGTATTCAAAATTCTATGGCTCTTAGGTAAATCATACAGAATAACAGATGTCAATAAATAGAGTATAGGAAGAGCATATCAAAACGCTTTGTAATAAATTGTTATCAAAGTTATGTTAGACTCTATTATAAATTATCTATTAAGCAGAGATCACATATCAACGCTGTCATAACTAATTACAACAAGGTCAAAAGACACTTTCAACATCAAACTGAACATATTTTATTATATTTAATTTTCTTTTTTTTCTTTTGTCTTTGTTAATCGATATGTAGTGTAAGCATGTGGCCTGCTAATTGTCAGCATTTAAATTCTTTGATTTATTTATGGCGCACGCATTGTTGGGCAGTGCGTTCGAGGCACAGTGTGTGAGTTGTTTATTTTTAGGGGCCATACCTGGGCCAGGTGTTTATTGTTTATATTGCTTAAGTTTTCGACTGCGCGGACGAGGTCAACATTGATTTTTGTTCCGGCAGCCATACGTATATACACTTCTTAAGCCCATGTGAACCAACACCCAAATCGATATCAGTGCGTTCATAAACATATTATATTAGTAAAGTTTTGTGAATGGAGGGTCAAGTGCGTCTGGCTGCTGCCCTCTGCTGTTGACAGCCAGCCTGATTAATTAACTGAATGGGAGCCGAATTGGTCAAATTACTTGCCCGAAAGTCCGGAAAAAAACCATTGAAACCAAAATTAAATTTCCTCTTAGACTCGCAGTAGTCTATTGAAAGGACAGAAATTCGACCAGCTCAGAAATACACAAGAATTATTTACCGAATCAGCCAATGGCACTGCTTACTGCTCCACAAGGACTTGCAACTGTAAGAAGTATATTTCAAGCTGCTTAACCTCGACACACAAAGCTAGAGTTTTTTCAACTCAATAAACGTAAGTCAACGACATAAATTATTTTAAATACATTTTTATTAATGACATTTGAAATATATATATTTTAACTCCAGCAGGACATAAAAAGGAAACGCAGTTAACCGCAAGCTTGAAGCGCACATTAAGGATAAGAATCCCATTCCCAGAGCAGAATGTGCGTAAAATTCAGCACATGCTGCAGGCAAAATGGAGCGCAAATCACCGCAGTCACTTATCGACGTGGGTAGATTGACAACTAAGATGCCATACAAAATGAATAATATATATTGATGGCATATTTGTGTACACAAAGCCTATGAATGGAAGGCTAAGACACACACCTAAATAGAAATATATCAAAGAAAGTATGTATAATAAAACTTATTTTTGACAAAAGAAGTTTGTCAGCACATTTATTCATATGAATAAGTGAGTGCATTACTCAAGGAGCAACCCTCGCAAATAGAGGATGCCGAGCGCTGTGGCTGCCTTCACTTGTTTATTCTCAGCAATCAAACAGAAATTCTTTTGAAAGCGCTGGCTAAACTCACACTCTTTCACACGCTGTATCACTGGCTCATGTGTGTGTGAAAGGATGACATATGCCCTCATATGTCTATGGCATTCTTGTGCTGTAGGTCATAAAAAGTAAAGCATATAAAGCGAAACAGTTGAAGACTTTGACAGGCTACAGGACGATGTTGGCATAGATGTCATGCGACAGCGTCGTGAATGAAAAGCCACAACGGCTTTTCACTGGGTTCCATGTGATTAAATACGTGCAGACACATATGTCAAGCCGTTCAGAGCCCATCAGCCAAAAAAAAAAAAAAACTGTTGAGTAAATCCTAATGCTATGCATATGGATTGACAATGTGAAGGGTTAAGCTTGCAATCCTCTTACAGTGCTTAGATCAAAATGATTCCAAATGAAAATTCTTCTTGATACATTGTTGCAATCAGGCGAGCCATGCTAATAATGTCAAAAGGTAATTTACTCAGTTGGCTTAGGAAAGAGGCTATTTATAACACACAGCTCTATTAAATTCAGGTAGACATCATTTTAGATTTAACGGAGATTCGAATTCTACGAGTAGTCTAATGTCGCAATCAACACGCCGGTCCCAGGTGAGCAGAGTCCAGTATTTCTTAGCGAAATAATAATGCCGTTTGCAGTTCGCCTTGAACAGCTCAGCTGCCGAGAAGTGTTTGAGAGATGATCTTTTTTATAACCAGTTATACAAGAGCTATAATATCAGCAATCTTGGAGTAAGCGCCAGTCCCAGAAGTGAAACCGACAAGTACAGGACTTCCAGTATGATCGATTACCGGCAAATTGATGCAGAGCTGGCGCGCAGTAAGAAATTTGGTGCTTAAATATAATAATATAATTCACATTTGGTTTTTCCACTCAAGTACAATTTGAATATGATAACATGAATATGGCGCACTATGGATTGTTTACAGACAATAGTAAGTCAAATTGAAGAAAAAGCTGAGCCCAGTTGGAGTATGGCTAAAAAATTTCTGATGAGGTCAAAATGTGACCTGGTCTTATGGATCATTTATATTTAGATGTTTGCTTTAGAATATAGCTCCTGCTTTAATAGCATCAGGAAATATGCTTAACATCCTTGAGACTACTTGCAGCTAAGCCTAACTCTTAATACTGTAAGTTTTTCTATTAAATAATCGAAATTCGCTATCTTTAAACACAGATAAGTTGCCGGATATGTTCGATCACTGCTGCGACCCTGAGCCTAATTTGATGGACTCTGCATTAAAAGCCGAGGCGTGTTTTCCAACTGCAATACAAGCGCCTCCACGTTACATGAACTTTCGTCAAGCGGGTGCTTCTCGGGCAAACCCAATTGCCGCTGAGCCAGTGCAGCGTCGCCAGCAAGCAAGAGATCTGGCAGAGATGTCATATAATCTGCCGCCATCGACAATGATTACTGGATCGCAAGTAATTAGCCTTGCCGACGAGCCTGCATTGCTACCTGTCCAAATCATGTCGAGCACGCCCAAATCCCCTGTGCTGCAGCAGGAAGTGAACAGATTGGAATCGGATGTGGTAACGGCGCCGCAATCCGAGCCATATAAGTGCCCGGTCTGTCTGAAGTGTGTTCATCACCGGAAACCCGCTTCGACCGTCTGCGGGCATGTGTTTTGCAGCAGTTGCATTAAGACCGCATTACGCGCCACATGCAAATGCCCCGTTTGCCAACGATTGATTACCGCACGCCAAATTTTCAGAATATTCATATAGTAAGCAGCGGAGTAACGAATTTTAATGTGCTGCTGGTGATTACCCATTTTATTTCAAACTGAGCCTTATACTGCAATTATATTAAATTCATCCATGTTTGTTTCGACGTGCACCCCAAGGTATGCAATGCTTTTTATTCCACTTGCGATATTTGTCTTCGAACGTTGCGCATACGCCACGTGGGCCACGAACATAAAATGCAACAAACTACAAGAGAAAATCTCAAGGGCAGGTGCAACTGCCACAGCAGTCTGCCACATTGTGCACCACCTGCTGCAAGATTGTAACTTACGTGCCCCGAAGTTGTGGCAAGTAACACATGCTGCACACGGCACCGTGTGCCGCATGCCAATGCCAACAGCAGCAAATCGATTCAGCCTCACATTTTAATCGCCCGCCATTTGTACGGCAAACAGCGAACTCGATTACCGATGCCAATCGATTTGTAACACTTAATCAAATTGAATTCATTCGACTACAAGCTGCTTTAACAAATATATCATGGCTGTCTTTTCATTTAACTCTATGCTTTTATGCGGGTCATGCCTTGATCTTGCCACAGCTCCCAAATTTGTACAGATTTAATTGACAGCAGAAACGCTTTAGATCTAACTGTTGGCCACAAAGCCACTGGCCACAAAATAAATCAACGGCTCTGCTCAGCAGCTGTGCCAGAGTAATCAACGGCTTGGCCCAAATGAAATGAATAATGCGAATGCTGGCTGAAAGCTCTTAGCAGGAGTCGTCGGGCTCTCTCACAAATTGGCGACACAAACGTGCCGGCGCAAAACAAATTTCCCAGCAATGGAAAGAGAGCAATTGTAAAAGAAAATGTCATGCCATCGCATTAATCAAGGTGAAGTTGAACACTTTTGTCACGGGCAGTGTCAATGCCAAACAGGCATTTTGGTCAACGGAGCACAGTGGTTTAAACTTGTTATAAGATATATTCACGAAATTTAAAAATTTAATATTAATATTACAATTCAAGGCTAACTAGATTTTAGATTAGTGAGAGCTTGTTTTTATTTTTGAATACATCATATTTTTGCTTATTAATACCACTGTGCGAAGAGGCAACGCCAAAATGTCGACACACAGCGCACGTCTTGCGCTTGTTTCTCTTGCTCAATGTGCGACTATTTTGCAATGTTTTTCAGGACAAGACAATGAATGGTCTTTCAGCCAGTTTGTTGCTGTACGTGTGCTCCCACATAATGGCCATCTAAGACAAAAGCCAAAAGCCAAGCCAAAGACACAAACAAGCAGCCATCGAAATGCGAGTGCCACGCACTTTTTCCAATTTTGTTTCGGTTAGTCATTTCATATTTGAAGCCTTTCGATTCCGAGCAGGGACAAGTGAGTGAATCATCTATTTGTATGGAAGATACTTGACTTTCCTATTGCTTTTCACACAGACCTTGCGGAAGCTGTACAACTCTATTATTGTGTAATTTTTTTTCTAAATTGATGAAAACAAAAAATGAATTTATCGAACTTTTTATACCCTGATCCCATTAAAAATGGGAAATCAGGGTATAATGGTTTTGTGCAAATGTATGTAACAGGCAGAAGGAGGCGTGGCAGACCCCATAAAGTATATATATTCTTGATCAGGACGACAAGCCGAGTCGATTGAGCCCTGTCCGTCTGTCTGTCCGTCCGTCTGTCCGTCTGTCCGTCTGTCCGTCTGTCCGTATGTGTGAACGCGTGGATCTCAGCATCTATAAGAGCTAGAGACTTGAAATTTTTTTTGTAGGTCCGTGTATAGCACGCGCAGGTCAAGTTTGTTTCAAATATTCGATAACTATTCGCATTTAATTGTTATCGAATAAAAACATTATTGAAATGCAGTAAATAAATTATATCTCGAACGTCTTAAGAGCTAGAGCCTCCAAATTTTGTATTTAGTCTTATGTATATTTTATGCAATTTTGATTTTTGTTGGATTTTGGATACCGGCTCCAAATTCCCCCAAATTCTTAGAATTTAAGTTTAGTTGGAAATAGGGCCATTATGTGAAGGCGTTTGCATCTCAACCAAGCCAATAGGATATGTAGATCATATGCTGAAAATTTCATTAAAATCCATTAAGTAAAACAGAAGTTATTAAACAAAACGTTTGGCCAATTTCCAAAAGCACATGTCAGCAGCGCCACGCGCACGCATTTTTCCTATGCGTGTGCACACATACATTCAAATGCGTGTATTCTTTTCTATTCCAAGAATTGAAATTGCGATTGAATTGTGCTGAATTATTAGCTGCTACTTATGTTCAAATTTGCAACAGCCCGTGCAAGAAGGACAGTGGCTGCGTTGGTAGTGGCCCCGCTCGTATGCAGCTTGGTCCGGGTTCGAGACCGGAGGAGATGAAATGTTTTTTACTGTTTTATTTTTTTTTTTTTTAGTTATGAAGTGGCGGTGTTGGTAGAGTTTGTGCACGTTGCGCAAATAATCCGGGTTCGAATCCTGGTCTCGCAATGTCGATTTTTATTTGTTTTCTCTTTTTTTTTAATACTCGATACAAACTACGGAAAATATTACAAAACTCAAAGGACTGGGATCAGGGTATCTCCTAGTCGGGCACCCCGACTAGAGCTTTCTTACTTGTTTTTAATATATTTGCGCAAAAATAAATTGGTGTTTTCAGCTTCTATTGATATTACTTGAGATCTCAGTGTAATGGACTCAGCAACTTGAAGTTAAAGCTAGAACCGTTTTAAGATATCTACTCATATACGAGCTGCTCAGTCAGCTGCAGTCATGCCATTACCTTCAAGGTTCGTTTATTTAAATACACTCGGCTCTTACTTAGCATTGCTTTTTATTAGTCACTGCCTTCAGGCAGACACTTTCAGGCAGTGAAGCCTTTAAGCTCTCACAACATGCAAAGTGGCCATCAAAAACTTGGCATAGACAAACAATGAGAGCGAGTTAGAGGGTGAGAGAGTGAGAGAGATACGAGAGATGCAGTTTATTTTCTTTCTATTGAAATCAATAGAGAAACTGAGCTTGGCCCAGGGGCCAGGCGATGCACAATTTGACGCAAATGTAAATTTAATAGAAGAAGAAGCAAAATCAGTGTCATGCAAATTGAATTTGCCACAAGCCACCAGCAAACGATTTGCCATACAAATGCGATTTATGTATCTTATGACAATACTTTCCTGAGCTGCCCAGAGCAGAAGCACGATCAAAAGGCATCCGCTGTACGCATTTAAGTACGAGTTTAACAAGCAGAATCATAGCATCATCAAATTGTTAGTAATATGCATATATTAGTAATATAAAAAAGAAATCCCAACAATGACTGAGGCATTTCCACAGTGACAGCAATTTGCATATATACGTCGTATTTTTTTCTCGTTCTGTACGCTCTCGTTTTATCTTACGGCAACGGCAACGGCAACGGCAATGGCAATGGCGCCTAATACCCGTTCATGTTTATAGATGTGCGGTTGTGTGGTGATACAGAGTTAACCCCGGCATACAAATCCGTTCGTATTGTCTGATATTTCCACTGCTGAGTGGCATAAATCTCACATGTGCCAGGCCAGATATACACGACCATGCATTATGAATGCAAACGAGGGTTCTGGGTGGTAAGCAGCGGCTAGAAAGAATGCTACATAGTGCACTGCACGGCATAATGAGCCAGTTTCATATATATATTTATATATATATATATCTATATATACAAATGCATGCACAGAATCTCAGATAAATGCAAGCTGTGTGCTATTCAAATGTCGTGTATGCAGCTTGTTAAAATAATATTGTACTCGCGCCTGGGCATACATTTCAGTTATTAATTCAGCATGTTATGTCCACAGCTTAATGGCCCTGACAATTATCTCGTGGAGTTCAATTTGCGACTCATTGTGCTGGCCAAATGGCTTGTTTATCTCGGCTAGCCCACATTTACTGGCCAATCAATTTAGAACTTTTTAGTCAATCAGGAGCCAAACCCTGTGGAAAAATATGTGTTAGCGCAATCAAACCAAGCCAATTGAAGGCCGAATGGATTCGTCAGCTGAAATGGGCTTGCGCTGTAAACGAGCCTGGGTAGTGGGCTGTCACGTTGAATTGATCTGGTAGAAGGGTGGCGCTCTGCAATGGCAATGGGGGAATGGGGCGGGGCTGTGTTTTGTCGCGTCGTTGGCGCCATCAACTGCGAGCTGGCAGACGAGGCTCCCTGATGACGCTCCGAGGAGCAACAGCAACAGCTGAATAAACAGCAGCAACAACAACAACAACAGCAACAAAGGCATCAACAGAGCTGTGTATAAACGAAGCGGGCGGGGGGCTTGCGGCAAAGTGGGGAGCTGCACACAAAGCGCTGAATACCGTTTCATCGACACTTTTTCATTGAATTCAATTAAAAGGCGAAATTGAAAATTGAAATTCAATTAAGATGCCATAAATACGTTAGGTGTGAGCTGTGTATAAAGTGCAAGCAGTAGAAGCAACCATCCAATAATCATAGATAAGCTAACAGCTGCTGCTGGCCCGCTCGTTTGACGCTTGAAGGATATATGGCCAACACAGCTAAAGAGTTAGAAGTACTCCAGCTGTCGGCTTGATAGCCGGAAATTATGCTTTTATTTAGACATCTTTTGTTAAGGTTTGTTTAGAACTCGAAAACCCATATCTACAGCAGTTGTAAGTTGACGATGTTTATTTAATTATAAAATATTTTTAATATATATATTTTTTGTCATTTTTTTGTTTCAGTAAGGCAGCTTTGCACTTACTTTCAAATTGAATTTAATTGTGTTCTGTTTTCTAAGCCTTGGAGCTCGTAGGATGTGCCATGCCAGGCGTTGCTGCTTCTGCTTATCGCTTCGTGCAGGATGCGTTCTTATTTCATTATTTTCTATTTTCAGCTGTGTCTTGAACATAGATTACATTTTATGGGTTGTTGATGGTAATATGATTGAAAATCTACAAATCTGCGAGTTTCATCTGTTTTTTTTTTTAGATTCTCGTGACGCCAAAATCTATTTTCCTGGTAGTTTTAAAAGCATTTTCTCTGTGACAAACCCTAATTTCATATTTAATTTTTACACTTTGTTCGGCAGAATTTACAAACTCGAACGTGATACTTCAGATGGTACCTGAATTTGCCACCTTTGTAGCCTCGGTTTCGCTATTCATCTACGCAGTCGGCGTAAGTATTAATCACATTCAACTCACTAATATTTGATTTCCAATTTACTTTTAGTACTGCAAATTTTTGGTTTTAACATATGTAGTTATCACTGTTGCTCAGATATCGTACTTCGTATTGTATAGCATAGTTTCGACCGTGATGGGTACAAATCTGATTGTAAATGCAGGTAAACCCCACATAATTGCGTACTGGCTATATTTGCCATATAATCTCGGTAAGTCAAAGAATATATTCAATCTCATTGAATATTAATCACACTAGGTTTTTCATTGTAATTTCAGGAACATCGCTTTATTTCATATATATCGCTCTCTCCTACGATCAGCAGCAGCGCTTGGCTCAGAGGCAAAATTAAGCAATACATGTGAAGTTTTCATAACGTGTCTGTTCAAAAAAAAATTCCGTAATAAAGACAATTATAAAATGTATTTCATATTAACAAAATATGTTCATTTGTGTTTGTTCTAAGCTTCTTTTCTTGTCCCGCTATTCGTATTTGTATACCTGAGGCTCACACAATTGCAATGCCTAGCTGCCGATACACAATTTAAGGAAATTGATGCTAATGGCTTCACAAATTGTGGGGTGGGGGGGGGGCGTGGCGTACGCGCAACATCTTCATCGAGCTTGACTTTTGCATTATTTGCAATTCAAGCTATTTATATAATAGCCTCATTAGCATTACGTGTGCGTGTGTGTGCATGTTTTTCATTTTCATCTTTGAGTGCCCATCGTCATGCTAATGGAATTAAAATGAAAATCGAGCCAACAATTGAATTACGCTCCACAGGATGCATGGCAGAAAAATGAGTTATAGACACGTTGGAACTCTCAGGGAATATGCTCGATATATCGATACATAGCAGACTCATTGTTTACTTGAATAGAATTAGATTTAGTGTTGTTCTCAGCAATTGCCTTCAAATTCAAATATTTTTCCGCAAATGAATTAGCTGCATTGGAATACCACAGGATGTTTCGTTCCACTCGTTGCTGCGGTTGCATGTCTTTACTTAAAGGGTGTTACTTGATTGCGTTAATTACCTTTATCTATAGTGTTTTGACTATTAAATTTGTGTTGATATTTCATAGCGAACCAAGTAATGTAACTCCCAATACAGTATTATGAACTCTGATCTTTTTAACACAAGCTCTTGCCTTTTCCAGAAATTCGCAATCAAAAATCAGGTGAAAATCATTTAATAACAATTAATGCAAATTTCTTCAATAGATCCTTTTCAAATCTAGCCGAAAACAATTCGTTCTTATGCTTAGTGGTGCCTGAACTCATCCTGTTTATACCATCGAGTGCGATAATTCTTTATGGATTGTTCGTAAGTAAAGACATCAAACTGACTGCAATCAGAGTTAACTTCGGACCTTTCTTTGTATCGTTCTAGCGCAAGAAGTGTTTAGCCTTTATTTACGCTTTCATTGTTAGTACGCACATTGTCTATTTTATAGTAATGTTTGCTATAACTGCGGTAGGCGGTACAAATATTATAGTAAATGAGGCCGGTCTGTACATTCACTTATTTTGGGTATTTTGTTTACTTCGATTTGGTAAGTTTTAGTTTTATTTCAAATAAAATTGAAAAGTGATTTCAAATTCAATTCCAGGAACAACTATATATTTTATTTATATAGTAATATTCATTTATATGAAGACTTCTGCAGATCAAGAACAAATTCGAAATATTCAATGATCGAATTGCACGATTGATTTTTTTACTATTTCAAAATTCCAAATTAAATATATTTGACATTTATTTTCCTTTTTTGCAACTGTGTCATTTATTCCAACAGCAAGGCAAGCAAGCAGATGCCTCTAGTTGACAACGAAGCCGGCTAAATGTTGCTCGAACTTTGCTGAAGTTGAAGCAGCAAATTGTTAGCTGGCGGATGTGCCAGGCAAGTTCTTCCCGACGGATGGCCCCAGAGCACAAGTCACAATTTTGGACCGTGCATTCAAGGACTTCAACTCAAGCAGAGCTTTACTTAAAATCTATTTTATGTTGAGCTCGGCGAAAAGTCGCAAACTTAATAAATAATATTCCGCAGACTTTAACTCTATGATGCGTATAACATATTATTGCATGATGTCTGCAAATTATGCACATGATTTAATATTTTATTCTAGTTTCAAATTTGGCATACCCCTACCCAAGCATATAGTTTCAAATTGAGCTATAACAGTTTTTATATTTTACAATTTGATTAGTTTTAGCTTTTGCATCGGGAAGATGTTTGATGCCAAGCATTTTTGCCATTGCGCTTCATTACGCATGGGATGTTTTATTATTGCAATAATCACAATGTTCTTAAGCGTTGCATTCACAAAATTCATTTTAGTTTTTTATGGCATAAAGTGTAATTTGACATTTGTAGCTGTGCTTCAAGTTGGCTGCTTTTAATACGAGTTTCTGCTTTTTTCAGATCCTGGCAATAAAAAAGGAAGCAAAGGTAATATTAAAAGCTTATGGACAATGCCTTAAAACTTAAACTCATCTCGTTCCATTCAATGAAAGACGATCACACTTTTTTGCTACTGCATCTGGTGCCCGAAATTCCAGTACTGGGATCCTCGCTTATATTAATCATTCACGAAATATATGTAAGTGCTCACTAAAGAAACGAGAATGATAATAAACTTGAAGCCTAATTGAATTTGAAATTTTTTATTATAGGCCAAATCAGTGCTAATCTTAATATTTGTAACCATTAATGGCATTCATATTATTTATATAATTGTAATATCTATTGTAAGTTACCTAATGGGCAAAAATATTGTTCTAAACTTTGCTGAGGTATGGTTTCATGTGTATTGGTCGTTTTGCCTAATCCGAATCGGTGAGTTGTTCTTGCGTTTCAAATATAAGCGAACAATACTTTCAAGCATAATTTCAGCAACAACAATCTATTTTATTTATATCGCCCTATCTCGCTGGAAGCAAATTAGGAATTGAAAATAAAAATCTATTTTTAACTGTCGAAATCGGAAAAGCGCAAATTGCATTTTGCATGGTAAAAATTAAATAATCAACTGATTTTACAGTTTGTCGCATTATTTGTTTTTTTTTACGCCGGGACACTTTTCCCTTTTGTGTCAAATGTAAATGTTGTTGCCATCATTCAATATTGATGTGAAATAGTTTATTGAAACGCGCCACAACTTGGTAAGTTTTGGGTTCAATTAGACCTTCCACAAAACAGCAACCAAGAAAGCAAAGTAAAAGTGGAAGATGCCAATCTTGAGTGAGGGAGTGAGTGGGTGACTCACTCCTCATATTATTTTTAGTCACAGTTGCAGCCAAAGCAGCTTCAATGATCAACAGGCGAACATAAAATGTGATCAACTCAAATTCAATTTTATTTGCTTTATTCTTAACAACGCCACAAAACTTCTGCTCCTGACTAAGCTTCCACTTTCAAATTTTACTAGTTTAATATATATTTTTTAAAAGAATTTTGAGCGTTCCTAACGAGTGGAAGTTTCATCCTAAGCATCATATAAACATGATAAGTATTGGGAATCGTAATATCTGAACTAATGTGTAAATGAAGGTAATAAACTTACAAAGTAATAAACTTACATTTAATATATTATTTTAGATAAAATAAGTTTTTGTCCTGTTATTATCGAACCATAATCATGTACGCCAACAACAGGTGCTACATTTTTAGGTAATATGTCTATATATATAGGAATTGAATTAATTAAGATTGGAAAAGCCCAAATTTTTTTTATTGCAAACAGTGAATTTGTAATATTTTGAATATTTTTAATTTATTATTTTTTGGTAATAAAACTCAAAAATATCCAATGTTGGAAAATAAATTACAAACAGTTCGCATTGTTTCTAACCTTTTATTTATTTTTTTTTTCAAATTTAAATACTTTGCAGCTTATTGATTCTTACAACAGCTCACTCAGTATTGCTTTAAATTAATTTATTGAAATTTGCCTTCAATCTAAAAATTTTAGCGAACTTTTCGGCTGCACATTTAATGCGACCCTCGGCAAGGTGTCACAAACACCAACCACTCTGACAAAATAAAAGAAGCAGATAATTTTGGTTTTCATTTTGACGCCTATTTAAAGCACACAAAATTCCAATCAATAAACAAGGCACCCGACACCCAGTCGCCCGATTGCTTGTTCATTCATAAAACTTTTGGCGACTCCTTACGCTTCAGTCAATATTGTGGCATGCACAGTCAACAGTCTCTTCATTCGACCTACCTAAAATACAATACAATATAATATAATATAATATATGAATTCAACGCTGTATCCAGCTTAAGCTATTGGATGTAGCAAATATGATTAGATGAAAGGGATGCTTAAACTTGAACTCTGTGTCTGCGACAACCTTTCACAGGCTTCACATTTACAGTGAGTCTGGCAAACATTTCGTTTGTCTTCTCCAATATCATACGCACAATTTAAATGTCTCACGCAGTCACACACACACACCATGACTTTATGTTTTATTGTTACTAGCCCCGTAAAGCGAGTGCGTATACCCGGCGTATGCGCAACATCTTTGGGCTCCATATTTTGTGTTATTTGCAATTTAAGCAATTTATATAATAGCCTCATTAGCATCACATGTGCCTGTGTATATATATATACATATACGTTTGTCGCCTATTTGGCACATCTTAAAATTCCCTTCATCATGCTAATGGAATTAAAACGAAAATTGAGTCAACAATTTAAGCACAGAAAGGCTGACAGGAAAATTGGTTGAGATTCATAAAGGATATGGTTCATATGAATATGATAGAATATAATAGTTTGCTTTACCTCATATTTAAAGCCTTGATAAGGCGACTATTTAGTTGACTTCTAGTCACTTCTTAATGGCTAACTAAAGCTAAACATAGTTAGTACAAAGTCAAAGTTATGCATTTCGGCAGCAATAAAATGTGAAGAATTGAAATTAAATTGGATCATTGCACACGTAATTAATATTAAATTTTTTTTTTTTTTTTTTTTTTTTTTTTTTTTTTTTTTTTTCGTTTTTATTTCTTTATTTTGTTGCAGCTTATTGTCTTAGACTCTATAGCGCATTTAGCTCTAAACCTTAACTAATGGGAGGGCAGATATGCCAATTATTCTGCACTTGTAGCTACTATCTTAATTAGTTCTAATATTGTCTAGAGGATGCAATCTCTTCAGTCTTCGCCTATTGTTGTTTATAGCCAGGTTGCTTGCGAGATGGTTAGGATGCGCTGCAAGTCTGTCCGCGTATCTTGAACTGTGTCGCCCAATGAGTTCAGCAACTGTGGGAATTGCTAAATCCCTATGTAAGACTGAGTTTCTTACAAACCAGCTGGCTCCAGTCCATCTGCGTAGTGCTTTATTCTGCAGGGTCTGAATTTTGTTCCTTGTAGTCTTCGCCGAGGAGCCCCATAGAGAGATACCATATACGAAGGTTGGGACAACTATTGCCTTGTAGATGGCGGCCTTGCTGCTGTAAGACAACTTGCTTGAAGCTCTCAGCATCCAGTCGAGGGTTTTTAGCTTGCTTTTGCATTTTGAGGTTACTTGACTTATGTGCGCTTTAAAAGTCAGCCTTCTGTCAAGAGTGATACCAAGGTACTTTACTTTTGAGGCTTTGGGAATAGTGGGCCCCAATGCAACGCTTGGGCAATCTCCTCTTCTAGTGGCGAAGGTAGTATGTACAGACTTTTGTGCATTAATGGTGATACACCACCGTTTTGCCCAGCGTCCGAAAGAGTCCAGATATTTTTGTAGTGAGTCTGAAGCTTCTTGCGCAGATACGTGACGTGATAAGATGGCGGTGTCATCTGCATAGGTCGCTATGAGTACTGCATCTGTACTTCCTATATTTGGCTCGGGAGTTGGCATATCTCCTGTGAATAAAGTATAAAGTGTTGGGCCTAGAACACTACCCTGTGGTACTCCAGCCATAATTGGTCTAGTCAAGGATACTGTTTGCCCCCTTGACACTTGGAAGGTTCTTCCAATAAGGTATGAGGATAGCAACGCGAAAAATGGGGCTGGAAGGGTGGTCCTCACTTTCTGCAGCAGTCCCAGGTGCCAAACTCGATCAAACGCCTGTTTGATGTCTAAAAAGACGGCAGAGCAGTACATCTTTTCTTCAAAGGCTCCAAGGATATGGTGCACAACTCTGTGAACCTGTTCCGGTGTTCCATGCTGTCTCCTGAAGCCAAACTGATGGTTTGGAATGGCCTCCTGGCGTCCCAGATGTGTCAGTACTCGTTCCAGAAATATTCTTTCGAATATTTTGGAGAGTACTGGCAACAGGCTAATTGGTCTGTACGACTCAATTTCTCCCACGGGTTTGCCAGGCTTAGGAATCATCACAATCACGGCGCGCTTCCAGCAGGCTGGAAAGTGCCGGATGCGGAGCATGGCGTTGTACACCATAGTTATGTAGTCTATGGTGGAGTCAGGCAGTGCTCTAAGGACTCTGCCGTTTATTAGATCATATCCAGGGGATTTTTTTGCCTTCACTCTTCTGATGTGTTCAAGAACCTCTTCTTTTGTACATCCAGTTATCTGGTCTTCAGCTGGGAGGGGCGAGAGAACGATGTCTTCTGTTGCTTCGATTTCTGAGGCCTCTGCGGTAATCACCGGCGTGAATTGGTCTTGAAGGTGGTTTGCAAAAGCCTCAGCTTGAGCTTCGTCTCCAATGTGCCAGGAACCAGAAATGCTCCGAATGGGATGACGTCGTATTGGCTGCCGTTTGAGCTTTCTTGTAAATTTCCATAATTGAAACTCTGCGTCAGTGGGCGATTCAGCTCGTACCAGCGCATCGCTGATACACCTCTTTTGAAGCAGGGCGAGAGCAGCTTTAAGATGCCTCGTGGCTTCGTTGTACATGGATTTGGCATCAGGCGTGCGTAATCTTAACCAGCGTCTCCTGGCCCATCTTTTGTGTATTAGTAGGTGTTGGGCCTCCAAGGTGAGGGGGATGTTGTACGGAGACTGTTGTCTTGTTTGGCAAGATGGTGGGGCGGCTTGGTGCGCAGCTTTGACTATTTCTTCCTGCAGTTTGTTTGCTGCGTAGTCCACGTCTTCAGGAGTGTTAAGTTCCATTTCTATGTGCAAAGAGTAATGGAGCTCGCGCCTAAAGACTCCTAAATCTGATCCTGCTGGCAGTAGTTGTTTCCTAATGGGCAAGGGCTGTGGCTGCGCGTGGATTGTGACTATTAGTGGCAGGTGGTCAGAGGATAGGTCCAAGGATTCTTCAATGGTCAATTGCCGGTCACAGATGCCTTTGTAGACAGCGAAGTCGATTGCCGAGGGCCTGTGTCCATTAATTGGGTAACGGGTGGGGGCTCCAGTCGCCAATATGCTGAATTGTAAGTTTTGAATCGCCTCAAATATGACTTCTCCGCGACGATTCGCACTATTGCTTCCCCAAAATGGGTGCCATCCATTCCAGTCGCCGCCGATGAGGGTCTTATTCAACCTTTGGCCTAGAACCTGTTCCATGTGATGATCACACAGACCAGTGTTTGGCGGAAGATAAATTGACGCAACTTCGATCGCTCCAATAGACGTAGGCAGGGTGATGGCTGAGACCTGCATTGTTGCGTTGCAAATTGGCAGTAAAGGTGTATGCGGTATTGTTGCTCGTATGAGGATTGAGGATCCACCAAAGCAGTTTGCTCCTTCACCATGAGCCTGATAGTGTTCGTATCCGAAAATTTGTGTAGTGGGGCACTCATGAGTTTCTGTTATTAACATTATATCTATGTTTTCTTGTGAGAGAAACGCAGCCAGTTCCTGAGTCTTGTTTCTCAGGCCATTGGCGTTCCAGATACCCACACGTAAAGCCATTATTTGTAGGCAAGCTTGGTTATGATGGCCATTAAACTGTTTAGCATGGTTGCTTGTTGGGATTGTACTTCTCGCATCGCTTTGAGCTCGGCATTAATTGCGTCAAACTGACGTTGTTGTTGCTGAAGCATTTCAGTGAACAAAGTGTCACTTGTGGTATTCTTATTTGACGGTCCACCTCTAGCGGCCTG